TGTTTGGTGTGTCTGATAATATGCCTTATAGCTAAATGTAGCCACAGTACTGGTACAGTGAGCCGCTAGGAGTTACTCCAAAGATTCCCTCATTGTACGTCACCATTCATCTGGAGAATTGGTGCGCTAAAATAAACCAATAACATCAGTGTACTGGTTTTCTGCTTCCCTAATTACACGCCCAATAGATGCGCCGTATACCACAGAGCTGAATAACGCATATTACTGAACGCCTAATGAAGGAAGGACGTCGTTTATCGGTATCCACGGTTCATTTGCTTTCATAAAATACGATTATATCTTTGCTTGCACACTTCTTCGCCCCAGCTCAGATCGTTCCGGCTATTTGGGCAGCGCTGAATTAATCAATTTCTTGAACAGTGTGAGTTTTGGCAAATATTGTTTTGTGTGGCTTTCCTCACGCTGATCTTTGTTTCACTTGAAAGTGGACCTGATTAAATGGATGCATTCAAACTAAATATGGCACTGGATGTTGGTGGCCGGTCGCTTTCATATCACCAGGTTTAACTTTTTCTGATTATCCCTAACTGAATGAGTGGAGAAGTCCATTCTCAGTTTCACAAAAGTATGTGGGTTCGTCAGTTCTCTAGGTTGTCTTTTATGTTTGGTTACCACTTTTGCATGCACTCAGGGGCTTTATCCAAATAAATTCCAGTCCACATTGTGCCGCAGTTCATCAACAAACCACTAACACCAAGAGATGTCAAAACCATACTTGATAAAGGTCGGCGTTTCTTAGAAGCGTCAAAACTGCAAGACTATGAGTTATTTTATTAACCAAATTCACAGTAGCAACCGAACCAGAGATGTACGGTGAAAGTATGCATCCGTTGTCCTCAAATGCCAAGTTTTCAGATATGCTTACATGCTGATGAATTTCTGAGCGTCTACAGCCTATGGTTACGCACATTCCATGGTTTTAAACTGTTACGTGCGTAAACCGTCCAACCAGGTAAGGAACCGGTCTGGAAATGCAGCTTTGGGTTCTAGTAATAATGAAATCTGTCCACTTCGGATACGGTCCCTGTGATCGGAATGATCGATGTTTGATTTAAAATATATCGTTCAGCGAAGAGATTTCGTGTGTAGCAAATCAAACGCCTGGCGGTTATCTCAAAAGTATAGCGTTAAACTTGATGTATCGAGTGGTTTAATCTACCGAAATAACTTGAAGAACCATATGTTTGTGACAACCTCGGTCTACAGTCACATCTGGTCGGTTATCAGAAACGGGCTATATGTAAGCATTCTACGGTGCATGTGTTTCGTTTTCAAGATCGGAAACCCGTTTAGGTACTTTTCTGGTCTCCTATATGTTTTGTTGTTGTGCATGTGTGGACTAGTAATACTTGCATTTATAATTAAGATCCTCCGGAGATCAGTTCAATACGTGATGAGGTTGACGTTTTAACCACACAGATACTTGATTCAGCTCTGTTCGATCTGAATCTATGTATACAGGTCCAGTTTCTCACAGGCTGCTACACTGCATGCGAATCAAATTTGGGCTGGCTTCCAGCTTTCCCACCGAGCATGGCGACATGGCTGATGCCTGTTTGCGGATAAGTCGTTCAGTGTTTCTTGCACGAAAACCAATTCAACATAACGAGCCCTTTTACGGTGACAAAGTTCGCTTCCATTCACATTAACCAAAAGTCCCAAACAACCCTAACCAGCGTTCGGTATGTAAAACATCCGCAACATTTCGATATCTCATCTCATGTCCGTGCACAATAACCTACGGAAGGAAAATCTCGTAAGTTTAAACATAACGGACTTGTGACGGCGACCCACAATCTATATATTCAACTGACGGAACTACAGTCTTAAGCATGTTTAATGCCCTTCCTTACAGCACTTCAATTTTTCCATGTTCCACCCGACTGATTTTATGCAGTATCACAATTCTGAACTCACTAACGGTGCTAAATGGAAATTCATATAATGTCAACTATTGTTACCATGGACGAGCTTTGATTAGCATTCTTATCTGCTGAACGGCATGAAAAAATTTCCAAATGCTGTAGCTTCCTTGACATCCCGAAAAACTGTAACTGTTAGGCCACTGTAGTCCATTCTCATTTTCTGTTCTAGAGTACCTCTCAAGTTCTTACTGAAGCGAAGGGTCCCAAAACTCCCCGAATCAGCAGGCCGCGTAAAGTGAAGTACATTAATCTGATGCACTGGCAAGCACGTCATCTGAGTCAAGGTTCACAGTCACTTAATGATCAAAATGAACCCAACCAAAAGAGGCGAGGCTCGGCGCCCCTTAAGATTCGTCCACCCTCGAATGAAACAGAAGCTGAAAGATCAAACCCAGCGGAGAGCGCTCGATCTGTGGGTTATCGTTACGAGAAGGGAAGTTTGGACTTGCAATGTAAAGTGAAGGAAAGGCTGCATATTTTCGGAAGATCTTTCCAAATGAGTCAACAGGAATTTTTAAAATTGGTGGAACGTTACGAGACCAATCCGGTCGTCAAACAGCAGGGTATGTCAAGAGAAGCCAACGAAGCTCTGATCCTAGTCTGATTCATCAAAGCTATGAGCTTGCTATACCGATGTCAACATGTACTCTTATCCCCGCTCAAAGCCACTGTAACTGACTCCAGTAGATTGTACATTGGTAAAACGCGATCACTAAAGATCTTTCAAAATCTGCACTCACTCGCCTGTTTACTTGCTAGACTGTCCATACTGATTATTGATTATGATGTTGATTGACCGACTGTAACTAGCACCACCTCTCCATACCAGTAGCATCTTCACTTGAAACTTCCAAATTAGCGTGGCGCCAGTTGAGCGCTAATCGGTCACCACTGTACCTTCAGTCTGAAGTCTCGTCGCTTGGTTTACCAAGTGGCAATTAGGAATTTGTTTAGCGAGAGCCATGTTCTGGCCAACCTAATCCCTTCATGTTCGAAATCGTTCGATGGCCTACCTGGTGGCCTCGATTCAATACAACGTAACTTTTGATCATTCAAAGCACGAACCTAATGATCAAGCTCTTCATATTTTTAGTTCAAGGTAAGCCATAACTTCATTTAGATTGCCGATTGTGTTACAAACACAGCCCCAGCTATCAACTCCAAAGCCTATAGAGTGATAATAGGGGAGCTGATATCAAATTTGCCGTGCTGCGCCGCACTTTTGCTGTGAAAATATACTTCGCCCTGTTCACTTCGCTCTCTTAATCTACTTCAGGAAAACTCTCCACTCAAGGTTTTTACCGTTTCTTGCTGTCCTCTGACTATATCAAACTCGTCCAATTCCGAACGCTCTCATATGCCTCTGTGGAGCAAGAAAGAACCAGCAGTATGCGCCACCCTCTGTCATGTTATTTCATAAAAGCCGCCAAACTGGTATCAGCAGATGATAAGGCAGAAACAGGAGAATACAACCACAGGAGTGAAGCTGATTCCAATTACCTACTTTGTCAAGCTAAAAGGAACTCTATCCTGTTCATTCGAACTATCCGTCAACTGCTCCTCTTGGCAGTACGGTAAGTCAGTTGGCGTCGGTTATGTGAGGAACGAATAAGGCTGTAGACAGCCGACCCACTGAACTTTAATGACTTTACTTCTGTTTCCATGAACCTCCTAAATCTAACAGTTTCCATGAATCGTTAAAGTTGAGGACAATAATACAAGGTCAAAGGTAGTTAAGATTTGCATTGCGACGTAGCCTTACAAGGGATTTTCGACTAAGCCTGCGATCCACTGTTTATATCTCCAACATGGACACGATGCAATACTACTTATGCTACGAAACACGCAAATACATGAGTGTCTGATCCAGTAGGAACCTGAGTAGAATATTTACTTCTCTAAGGTCGTTGTGCCTAATGAGACACTCTTTACGTTTAAATTTACATTTTGTACACAGGACGCCTCAGTACTGTCAGCACTTTTCCGAATGCACATTTTTAAACAGGATTCGACCTCAATACTGGGTTTAATCGTACAACTGCCGATATTCATATTCAGACTGCCTAGTTTTTCCAATTCATTTAAGATTTACCTGCGTTCTTCGATTGCCTAGTAGACCAAACAATAAACTGGCCTTTTCACTGCATTTTCATACCTGCTGAAACCCACAGGGTTTTGATCTATGTGGAAGATTGTTTTGTCATCTGCTTCAGATGCAGTCCTAATTACTCGATTGACCAACGTCCACTGCAACATGAATCGCGGTTCTAATTGTGATTGCTTGTCGAAAGCCATTCCTACTACCAATACCTCAAAATGACTTAACTTTGCTGTTTCTTCCAGATCCCTAGAGCTAACCTGTTGGGGAGAAACTCACGTTCAAAACTTCCCTACGACAGCTAGCAATGGACAACCTAATTTGTATATATCTCCAACCAAGTCACAAGTCTCAGCTACTATTGCGGGGCAAGAAAGATCAGTGATTGAAGGGAAAAACCTTTATGCCGTACCCGTAGTTGTGAGTAACTATTTGCTACGATTTTTCTCTTAAGTTTTGTAAATTACTCTTAGCACGCCCCTATTTATCTTACATATGACAGTGACAGGGCTGGCAATATATGTGATATTTCCAGTTACTTCACTCGGGCTTATGTCCTGGTTGACTTTCAGCTTGGAGGCACTTCAAACCTAGCCGCGCTCCTTAGAATTGTTGACAGTACACTTACCGGTCCGATACCTACACCAGGTCTAATGATCCTCCACGAGAATACTAAATGTCATCGTGATATCGTTAGGTTACAAAAGTGAAACTATCATGGAAAAGCTGCTGCCCAGCCACCTCGCTGTGTAGGCTTATAACTCGTATATCTCGTAGATGTTATCAACTATGCACGCACCGACGGAATGAGAACTGAGTACTAATCAATCGTAGCCCCAATTCTCATACCATCCAATCGGATTCATTCGGGTTTGGATTGAATGCATGGTGTGTGGTCGCGACTGAGTGTCGCTCATCGCAGTTGAATCCTGCTAACCATTAGGACTAATCCCATTATTCCACGCAGGTTCTCAGATTGTGCCTTTCACATCCTTCCCTCCGCTTTTCCTTGCAGAAAGTGTTAGAAACGATACGGAATTCCGCTTTTCTCTCGACGCCATATCCACTAGTGATATTTCTCTGGTTGGACCTCCTCGGGTGAGTAAGTATTCTTCACTGGTCCTATTGCATACATATTGTTTATCTAAATGGGGGGAAGCAGTCTGAGTGCACCTCATTTGAAACATACGCCAGTCTGTTCATTTGTTGAACTGACCAAGCTGTGGTTGGACTGAGACAAGCTAGCTCAATATGATATGAATTCAACATGAAAGGGGCCTCGGTTAATGTGGTTACGAGACTGTATTTGACGCACATAAAGATCATTTAGTGACTAACTTCAATGTTGCACTTTGCTATCGGTTTCTTTCTTATTCCGATCATTCACGTAGAAACAGCCAAACTGTGGCACTAAATTGAAGATAGAGATTTCCGGTAGACACCAACACCATTGCATTACCAAACTCCGCCAAAAGCGCTTGGCATGACAGTTACATTGATCTGCTGTCCGCTACCTACTAACGAAGCAAAACCAAATCCATGTTAAGCTGCAGCGTATCATACAAAAGCAGTCCGGGATAACTCGGTAACAGGAAAAACTAACCGGACTATTTTGATGAACATCTTTGAAAGTTACGAACTAGAATATTTTAGCGAAGATCGGTCACTAACTTTCTTGTTTGCAAATCAAACCACCAAAGCTGGATCTGATCATTTTAGCTGTCGTTTCACCTGTCGGTTCTACGCACTAATTGCAATGACGCGTATGACTATCATGATAAGTTGATGCAAAATGTCCCTCTGGGGCCAGAGTTATATTATACGTTGCCCTGCTTACCCAGGTATTACGACCGAATAAGCGCAGCAGATTTAAGTACGCGCTTCTGCGTTATGGGTTATATGGCCATAATTTGAACAGCGGTTTAATGAGGGATGTTTTAACTCCAGTGGCCAAGGCTGTCTTCTGCATGGAAGTAAGGTGCATGACGGACGAGTAGCTGCACTGCATCTCTGTTTGGAATCATTTATGATTGTCCGCCACAGTACTCTGTGATTCTTTTCTTTGTTCGCTGCCCCTTGATAGGATAAAGGGAGTTCCAAAACTCTTAAGTTTAGGAGAACTTTGGTGCTGTCAGTCTCCACTGGAGAAAAACGTGATCTTCACTGATGTTACTTGCTCGCCATTTCTAGCATCACCGGAGAAGAACAGGAAAGTAGTAGCGATAATGCCTGCCAAGCCGTCGATAAACAACATGAACAAGCATGATCCCTGCATTAGTCCATTTCCATTAAGTTATCAAGTTTATCAGGTGTTGACCCTTGGCACATAAAAACCCGATATGTACATTTAATTCTGCGCTTACATGAATATTATGATATGTCAACTTATCCGTGTCCTAGTTTGTAGGCGCAACCGTTCTTGTCTCTACAAGTTTTATCTCGGTCATGTTGGTTTGTCAACCATTGGTTTCTATAGCTTCAGTGAGAGATTGCTCCATGACTGTGCTGAATGCCGTTTTGCTAAAGTTCATTCGGCACTAGCTATCTAAGCATAGTGTATTTTAGGCGCATGTCTAAAATGATCGCATTTTCATTGACTCTGGCTGTCTCTGGGCGAAGTTAAATCCACAGAATCCTCTGCATTGTGTTGCATCACAGTCAGCTCTCACACATGTCTCTTGATGAGTCTACAGTAGTTAGTTGCATTTCAGATGGCGGAGTGCGCATGTCTTGCTTGAATGAAGGTGGAAAAGATTAACTCAAAACCGATCTTCATCGACTACATGGTGTCACCTATTGAATTAACGGATCCTACTTTGCTACAGGCTGAAGTTACAGCTGAAAACTGGCACAGATTCCATACCACCAGTAGTATATGATATCGTTTCTTTCGTGAGTGAAGCAAAGGTTATTGCAGAGGGTCCATTTGTTGCCATGGATAATACCGAATGTCGTATTTATTGAGAAACTATGCATGTATCAGGTCTAAAGTGGGTAGTATGTCTGTTACACTACTCGACAACGTTTCCGGTCTAAATGGGACTGATTATCTTCCACCGGATTTCTAACATAAAGACTGGCTTTATCCTAGATGTGCCAAATAGTAATCCAATGTCTAGCATGGTGAAGAAATATTGTCCCGTTCTGGTGCGATTTCCGCAAGCGCCAACTATGGCAGATAGCTACCGGGGGACAGAATTTCTCCCAAAGTAAACAAATCAATGCTTTCGATAGTTTACTTAACATTTCACAGACGTACCTAGTGAATGTAGCATTAGATTGATTGTGGCTGCATGCAGACACAATGGTCACTTTTGAAACCGTTTACCATAATTATCCTAGTTCACCTGAAAAAGCATTCAAAAAAGTGTTCGCATTGGGCATATGAAGGTGGCTTGGGGTTCACTGCAAGCACCAACATATCCTAGTTATCTCATAACTAAGTTCTCATTTCACACTTATTGGCACAACTGTAAAGTATACTCTTCAATAAACACTCATCTGCAAGTGTTCATCTTGATTCCTAACAAGCGCATACTCACTCGACATTTCTGACCTTAAAAGATTACTCATTACTCCCCAACCACAACTTTATGCCATGACAAGAATCATATAGTTACTTTAACTGTCATTCAGTTCAGCCGCAGTTCGTTAAAAGGTGACGTAAAAGATGACGAAGCAGAGCTTTAAACGTACAGCTCAGTTAGCACCGCAGAACCACGAAACTGGTGGCTCTTTACGCAATCGAACATTTTCTTTCCTGTTTTCACTCTGTGCAATTATTGCCTGTTTCTATCAATCAAACAACAACGGCACTATATCAGCCATTTGAACTGATACTTTGCTGCCATACAACCATGATGACTTATGAACTAAAGAATAAATAGGAGGGAGAGAAGGGGGACTTATCTGAAAACCTTCATGCCCTAAGCAAACAATCTGGGTCAAAGCGCTTACACCTTGTATTAACAACATACTGTCACAAACAGCTGGCTATCGTGCAAAGATAAGGCGGCATCGGCGAGACATCTTCCATCCGGCTTTCAGCACCCGAGACGTAATCAGCCATTACCCTGCATATAACTCAGCACCAAACGCTTTACACAGACAATCCGATTAGTCTCGAGCCAAGCACAAGGCGAGTCACATGAACTCCAGCCCGGTAGGCGAGACGGACGAATGGCACCGTTTGGTCGTCAGTGACTTCATTTTACGCTGCCAAGTCAACTTCTGTCCACCATGAGCCTTGCGCCACCCTACACCTAGTGGACTAAGCAAGGCCCTCCTAGGTAAGTGGTGACCAGGCAAACTTAGCACGTGCCCGAGCCAACGCAACTTATTCACTGCTATCTGTTGTTCTAGAGAGCTAGCATGATTATCACTGCCTAGTACTCACCTCCGCACATCATCGTTGCGGACACGCTGGTGCTATCCGATACCAGCAATGCTTCGAAAACAACGATGATCAAAGACTTGAAGGCGCTTTAGATCTTCAGACCGAAGCGGCCAAGTCACACTACCATACAGCAGAACGGCCCTCACTGTGGCCTTGTATACCCGGCCTTTCAGACGAAGGGAAGCCCTTCTGTCACCAAAGATGCTGTAGGTTCAAGAAGGCAGCTCTGGCCTTTGTAATGCGTGGGCTTACGTCAGTTTCTATGCGCCCATCGATGCTGATGCCGCTGCCAGGATAAGCAAATTGATCAACCACCTCTAGTTCCTCGTTGGCAAGGGTCAAGGGATCATAAAGTGGCTGGTCGTCCTGCACTTTGAAGGTGCGAAGTGCATACCAAATAATTGGACCACATTAGACAGGCTATTCAGGTTTGATTGTGCCTCCGTGATATCGTCGAAAGGCAAGACGATACCGTCCGCATTATCAAGATCAACTATTCTTTCACCAGGCAGGACCACAACGCCTACATCGTGATATTCCACAAGGGAACATTCCATAATAGAATCCACGACGAAATTGAACTAAAATGGTGAATTTGGACAACCCTGACGAAAGCCACCTGTGTTCAGAAAGCTATCCGATAGGACACCGTAGACCCTGACGCGGCCTGTAATGTTCCAAGTATAGAGCACGTATGACGTTCACATATGTCGTAGGAACACCTTTCCGCGCAAGTATTTCGAACAGAAGGCATCGACCGACTGAAACGAACGCAATCTTGAAATCGAGGAACACAGCTATTGTCGGTCTGCGGTGTGCGTGGCGCTGCTCTAGTACCTGCCTCAAAGTGAATATATGGTCTATACAGCCACGTCTTGGGCCGGCCTGCTCTTCCCTAATCCGAGATTCCCGTTTCACAGTGAGGAGACGAACGAGAATCGACGCCAGTAATGTTGCCATAACTTGTGTTAGGCTAATACTCCTGTGGTTAGAACAGTCTGTGTGACTGCCCTTCTTGTATATTGCCACTATAATCGATTCGCTCTAATTAGCCAAGTCACTCTCTTCCTTTCACATACATACGAATAGAGAGGTCAGTGCTTTGCGGAGGACCTCAGCTCCATCCTTAAACAGTGCAGGTGGGAGGGACTCCGGGCCATCGGAACGAAAACGATTGAGGGCTGTGATCGCGTTTCGGACCTCGGCGTCCGACAGAGGCTCTAAACTAACCGTCCTGTATCACCTGAGTAGGAAGAAGTCCGGGAACAGGAGGCCAGCTGGACGGATCTTGAAAGTGCTCCGCCCAACGAGCCATACAGCGCTGTATATTGTGTGTCAGTGTACCCGCGCTGTCTCTGATTGTCTCACTGACGCCCGGTTCCCTGGGATCAATGGTGCGGATCAACTGGAAGAGCTTGCGGTAATTGCCTACTGCTCCTGCCTCCTCCATTTCTTGAGCCCGACTGGTCCACCATGCTTCCTTGTCAGCACTTAGGCTCCGCCTTCTTTTGCACCTTATAGCCCGTCTGGTCACATTGTGCTCAGAGCCAGCCGGGAGGTTTCTTCTAGATTCCAACAGGTTCACCGATCTCTCGGATATCCAGTGACTGGTACGGTAACGATGGATAGTGCCACAAGCAGATGCTCCTGCATCGTGCATGACAGCCGAGATCCTATTCCACTGAAGCTCAGTGTCATTAGG